TAGGGTGGTATCTCATTGTGGCTGGTATCCAGGATCTATAAAGAACTTCTCAAACTCAACACCCAAAAAACAAATAATCAAGTCAAAAAATGGGCAGAAGACATGAACAGACACTTCTCTGAAGAAGACATACAAATGGCTCACAGACACATGAAAAAATGTTCATCATCATTAGCCATCAGGGAAATTCAAATTAAACCACATTGAGATACCACCTAGCACCAGTTTTGTCTTCTTCCATCCGTTTTTGTTAGGCCTCAGAAACATGTTTGTACTTCCCACGTGTCAGTCTTCAAAGAAGTGAAGGCTCGCACGTCCGTCGGCTAGTTATTAGATCTTCATGGCAGTCTCCTCTAAGTAGTAGGATTATCGACTCCACTTTCCCGAAGGGAATGTTGAAGTGTGGGAAGGCCAGGAGGAATCTTAGGAGTCCTCCCTCTGTGAGGAGTTGGGGGCACAGATAGCTCAAGGCCCCAGCTGTCCCTGGAGGGGAGCGTGTGGCCCCAGCAGCCACGGCCTAGGCCTCTGGCCTTCCAGTCTGTGCCCCTAGTATTGACCATTGCTGGGAGCTCTTTACCGATGCGGCCACAACAGGCGACCGCGGTGGGTGCCCCACTGGCCTCATCTCGTGAGCGAAGAGCTGTGACAGCAGATATGTGTCATTGGCCACACAGGGCACTGCTTCGTGATGGGTGGACTTCAAGGCTGAAGGCATAGATAATAGAAACAATGCTCTTGGGCTCTATTATTTATTATAGGGCTTACCACCATATTAAAGGATCACCCAGCCCCTGATCATATATGGCCTCTCCCTCGGTGGCGATATGTTTATTTAGAAGGTCACAGTTTCTCTCCCGGTGAGAAGCATGGCAGCGTGCTGGGCTTCCTTCGTCTGCCCTCAGCACAACCTCCTAGCAGAGTCAGTGCTTGCTGTTTGTTCCTCCCGGCACCTAGTGCTGTGCCCACAACTGGCCAGCTGCAGAGTCTAGCTCCCCCAGAACTTGGCTTGGTTTGGTTTGGTTCTCTCTTGTGTTAGATGGCAGCTTGCTTGAAGGCAGAGGCTGCAGAGCCTGCAGACTTGGGTCGTGGAGTGCAGTCCTTGGAGGAGAGAGGGTGTGGTGGGCTCAGGGGCAGGGGGCTGCATGCTGTGGTGGACGGAGCCCCTTCAGGCCTCGGCCTGCATGCATCCTGATCCCCGGACCTCACAGGTGCTGCTCCAGGCTGAGGACCGGGTGCACCGAATCGGACAGTCGAGCTCCGTGAGCATCCACTACCTCGTGGCGAGAGGCACAGCTGACGACTACCTCTGGTATGGCTGGCCACGGGGCTTGAGCGAGGGTTGATGCCAGTGATGTGTTTCCTTCGCTCCCTAAGCACTTCTGCTCTTGCTGATGTCTTCAGGGACCCATGCAGAAGACCCAGGTGTCATGCCCTCCCACTTCCACCGTGAGCATGCCGGGACTCCTTCACAGCATTCACTCACAGCTTGCTGGGTGCATGAGGACTAAGGGGCTGTGGCCTGAGACAAGGGAGGGGGGAGCTGATCGTGAGGAAGCGTAGGTGCAGGTTTGCTCGTAAGACACTCTGTCCCAGCCGTGAAGGCACTGCTGAGACACAGTGATGTCCCCCTCTGCCCCTTTATGGCATGTATCGGTACAGTAAGCCCGCCCTATAGTACTGCTGCTGACCTTTGGGAGAAAGTGGGCTCACTGTGTAGTGCTTCCTTAGCAGAGCTGGGGTAAAATGTTCAACCCCGGGGTTCATGTCTGGTACCTAAGCAAAAAAAATCTCCAAATGCTCCTTCTCAATCCCATTTACCCCTTCCTGATACTAAGTTTCTTGATTATCTGTTTCCACTACTCGTCTCTGTTTCCAGCTTTATGACTAAGGGGTCTTACCTTTGCCATGTGTGTTGTTGTCCCTCCTCCCGCATCTTTGGATTTGTGGGTTTGTTCACTGGGCAGCTCATAACAGCACGAGGTTCAGAATTTTGTTGTAATGAGACATTTATTTCCTCTATATCTTCCAGTAGAAAGGATTTTGAACCTAATTAACTCGAACCCTAAATTGGTTTGCAGCTGAGAGGAGGCAAATATTTGAGGTTGGGCATTGGCGCCTTGAGAGCGGCAAAGAAGTGAAACAGCATACTTCAGTCCCATAAAAACAAGGAGGGTGATCTCTTTTTAATCAGCTCGCTGGTTCTGCGCAGCTTGTATTCACCGCAGCTCATTTCTCCCCAACAGGCCCCTAATTCAAGAGAAGATTAAAGTTCTGGGTGAGGCCGGACTTTCTGAGACCAATTTTTCAGAAATGACAGAAGCTACTAATTACTTCTACAAGGTAACACTAGCAAATGTCTCCTTGCTACTGGGGTGGGGGGAGGCATTAAGTTGCTCAGCCCTTGGGTCCTGAGAGAGAAGGTGTGGATCACTCCTGCAGATTTCACCCAGCCTCATGCAGAAAAATGGCTTTACTGTAGCTCGTCTGGAAACCAAAGTGTCTTCTCCTCATGGAACTGCCCAGAATCAGAGTCTGAGTGAAATCAGCAAAATCCTCGAGTGACAGGAAGACTAGAGAGTCTGAGGGTTTGAACTTTCATTTACATTGAGGTAGCAGCTAAATGCTTCCTTCCAAATGTAATTATTGAGATAAATAAGACTCAGAAGTCATATTTTTATTTTTCTTTAAGTTCTTATTTAAGTAACTTCTACACCCAACGTGGGGCTTGAACTCATGACCCCCAGATCAAAAGTTGCATGCTCCTCCAGCTGAGCCAGGCACCCCCAGAGATCATATTTTTTAATGTAGAGTATAGATTATCCTCATAGATGTAAACAATTAATAAGCTAATTTTGAAACAACCTTATTTTTAAGCTTTTTAAAGAACTCTCTAATTCAGTTGAATGATAAATATTTTCACAGAGCCTTGGTTATTATATGCCCTTTGAAAAGAAGGAACCTTATTTTTAAAGGATTCTCAACCTTCTCGAACTCAATAATGAGTTCATTTAGAACTCATTTATTTATACTGCCTTTACCCTCACTCTGAATTAGTTAAGAATTTCTGCCTAAAGTACAAGATAATATAAATGCCGTTTATCAATACTTATTTTGATTAATAATTGTATCTATTTTTTTAATTAAAATGGGGCTGAAAATTTCATCAACTACTAGAAAAAGAAAACGTTGCCTCCTAGGAGGAGATTAAAGCAAAAGCAGTTACATCTCGCTAAGACATCCTGCTTTCCCAGAGGGGAAGTGAAATACTAATCAGATCTTGGACCTTGCTTCCATTAATCAGGCATGCTCTGAGTTAGAGCATAGTATTGCCACCACCATAATCAAATGCAGGTTAACAGTTATTTTGCTTGGAACAGGCTGCCTTATGGGGTGGCATTCCTTAACCTTGCGGTTGTTCAGACAGAGGCCGATGAGGATATTTCTAGAGGAGGATGTGTGGATCACGTGAGGCTGACCTTAATGACCCTTTAATATCACTCCTGGTTGGGAAGGTTGGGATCCTGAAAGGCCAGGGAATGTCAGGTGCAGGTACATTAGGCAATCTGGAGTTCTCACATGACTATTCCCATGGTCGGTTTTCAGGGGCGTCCCATCACCAATGCGGGGGGCTTCTGTTAAGGAGCAGTGGGGAAATAGAAACCAGCTGGGTTGAGACCTGATCATAAAGGGACTGAAAAGCCAGGGAAGCTACTTCAGCACTGATGAGGTAGACAGAGTGGGGGGGCCCCAGGACATGATGAGAAAATCCTGTTAAAGAAAAATGGGGGGCAGAAATCGGCCCGGCAGAGACCTGCCAGGGATTGAAACGGGGAGAGGCCTGCGGTGGGAAGCACAGGTGCGACACTGCAGATCCGTGCAGGTACCGAGTGCTGCGGCTCGGGTGAGAGTGTGCCTGTGGGACTTCGCAGGGGAACAGCCTGGAGAGGCGGACTTGCTGCCAGTCTGTGTGAGATTGGGGGCAGTCAGGACGCCCTGGTGATCGCAAGCCAGGGAGACCGGAAGCATGTTGGTAGACCATCAGAACTAGGCTTTTTGGAGAGAGTTGCTGGTTTGAGGATGTAGGATTGAGAGGAGAGATGGCTTGCGTTTTTAAACAGCGTTAGTTTAACGGAACCGGGATGTCAGTGGAGATGTTGAAAGCGCACCTGGATTGACAGACGCTCAGGGTTGGGAATTCACACTTGGGAGAGATCAGCAAAGGGGTGATAGCGAGCGCATTGCGTGCTATGGTTGTAACTGCTGGGCATGATTTTAACACTGCGCCAGGGCCGTCAGTGCACAGAGGTAGCTGGTGGGCCTTTTGATCATTGGCAGATTTCAGATAGAAACAAGTATGGGAATCTAGTTCTCCGTATGTCAAGTTACGGGTATGTTGTATCAACCACTCCGAAAATTAGGTGTAAGCAGTGCCTGAGTACACGGGTTTGGCAGTTGAATTGCAACTTAACTAAGCCCTCGGTGGAGAAGGGCTTTGCAGGAAGTGAGAGCTTGGGAGCTATTTCAATACCGATTTGGAAAGCTAGAAGGAAGAAGACATTTCCAACATAAATTATAGTTTGAGAGCATGTTCTTTATGGCTCTCACACCATTTCTAACTCCCCCCCCCTTTTCCTTTACTCCGCGAGCAGCAGAGCAGCAGAAAAGAAACGATGTCAGGCAGTAAGGCCGCCCTGGTCTACAGTGGCCGTCATGCGGCACCTGACGCCGTAAAATGTTCAGCCCCCACCTCCGAGTCTCCTCCCCAGCCTCGGTGGCCCAGGGAGAGTCGATGCTGGAGCCTGCACTCTAACTTTTTTGTTTTCTCTCTCTGATAAAGGACCCAAAGCAGCAGCAGATCTATGACCTCTTCCAGAAGTCCTTTGAGGAG